ATGGAGGAACTCTGTAAAAAATGGCTGTAATTCCTAAACGGTTAATGCAATATTTTTGTTAAACCCCTTGAATTAAAGCTGAAAGTCTACGCTTCAGTCACATCTTGACTGCTTCATTTCAAATCCACTGTGGTTGTGTACAGAGGCAAAATTACCAAAACTGTGTCACTGTCCCAATATTTATGGACCTGACTGTATATTATAATATGTTACAACCGTTATTTTTAACCACGATAATAGCCGCCTATTTAAAAATATCATTTCAATCACAGACACAGAGTTTGTATTAGAGACGTTGTACACCAGAGTCAGTATTTATAATGAAGCACACTGATGAACAGATTGAAAGCACTCTCTTTTTTCAAAAAGTGTATTATTATTTAGCAATCTAATAAAAATTCTTTATGCAAATCCTCTTGCATTAAAACTGTGCTTTTTCTCTTTTTTAAATTATGCATTTGTTACTTGTCAGTTGATTTCCTGCATTTCTGTTCTGTTCCACATTTATTCCTGCTTTCCGAACATGGTAAAGGTTGAGTAGAACCAATTCAAGTGGACGTCATGTGGGCTTTGTAGCTTCACTGCTGGAATTGGGTAACATTCTGAAGTTACAGGACAGTATCTTTGAAGCCATGTTGAGTTTGTGAGTTCGAGCTTCACCTGGAGGATGGGGTTTATGCAGTGGTTCTGATCAAGTAGTTGAGTGCCTAAGTTCATTTGTTCTAGTTTGAAGGGCAAGTGGACATGACATGACGCACCTTCTGTGGCTCCAGTGGCGCAATCGGTTAGCGTGCGGTACTTATACAGCAGTACATGTGAAGCCAAAAATTTAAATATTTACAATATATTTTTGTGAATCCATTTATTTCTGTAAAGCTGCTTTGTGACAATGTCCATTGTTAAAAGCGCTATACAAATAAAATTGAATTGAATTGAATGCCGAGGTTGTGAGTTCGAGCCTCACCTGGAGCATGAGTTTTGCGTGAGACATCTGGTAACATCTCAGCTGTCCCAGTGGATCTCATGCTTTAAGCGTGAAGTTGAACCAGTGAAAGTCGGAAGGGCAAGTGCACGTCTACCTTGAGCTGTAGCTCCAGTGGTGCACAGTACATACAGTATATGGTAGTACTTGTGGAGCAATGCTGAGGTTGTGCTGGGGCATGAGCTTTATGCAATGGTTCAGATGACTTAGTTAGGTGCCCTAGTTAGTTCCTTGTTTAAAGCTTGAGTAGAACCAATGCAAGTGATGTGATATATAGGAATCATGACACATCATGTAGGAATTCCAGCTTCACCTGGAGCATGTGCTTACCTGATGGTTTAGATGACCAAGTAGGTCACCCAAACACAGTTCTCCATGGTTAAAGGTTGAGTAGAACCAATGCAAATGGACATCATGTGGGCTTTGTAGCTTCACTGCTGGAATTGGGTAACATGCTGAAGTTATATGACAGTATCTTTGAAGCCATGTTGAGTTTGTGAGTTTGAGCTTCACCTGGAGGATGAGTTTTATGCAGTGGTTTGGATCAAGTAGATGTGTGCCTAAGTTCATTTGTTCTATTTTGAAGGGCAGGTGGACATGACGTGCCGTGTCTTCTGTGGCTCCAGTGGCGCAATCGGTTAGCGCGCGGTACTTATACAGCAGTACATGTGAAGCCATGCCGAGGTTGTGAGTTCGAGCCTCACCTGGAGCATGAGTTTTACCCGAGAGCTATAGTAACATCTCAGTGGATCCCATGCTTTAAGCTTGAAGTTGAATCAATGAAAGTTGGAAGGGCAAGTGCACATCTCTCTTGTGCTGTAGCTCCACTGGTGCAGTTGGTTAGTACACAGTACATATATAGTAGTATCTCTGTGGAGCAATGTTGAGGTTGTGAGTTTGAGCTTGACCTGGAGCATGAGCTTTATGCAATGGTTCAGATGACTTAGTTAGGTGCCCACTCATAACTGTCCTAGTTAGTTCCTTGTTTATTTCACTCCACTTCTGGACATGTTAGTGTGTGCTACACGTGAAGCCATGCAGAGATTGAGCTTTACCTGATAGGTAAGTAGAACCAAAGCAAGTTGAAAGGGCAAGTGCACATCCTACTGGGCTTGTAGCTCCAGTGGCACAATCGATTAGTATGCAGGACTTGTATGGTAGTATGTGTGAGTAGTTGGTTCCGTGGTTAAAGCTTGATCTGAACCAATTCCTGTGGTTTTCATAGCTCCCGTGTCACAATTGGTAAGCCCATGGTACATATCCAGCAGCACTTGTGATGCCATGCTGAAGCTGTCAGTCCACCTGGAGCATGAGCTTTACTCTGTGGTTCAGGTGACCGAGCTGAAGACCAGATCTCAGCTACCATGGTTTCATGTTTAAAGTGGTTGTGTGCTGTGTTGATAAAACTTTGGGAAAAATTTAAAAGTAATCTATCAGAGGTGCTTCATGTTTTGCGATAATAATAATAATATAATAATAATGCCACTCATTCCTCTCCTCTGGAGAGCAGGGGATGAGTTAGAGCTTTGAGCTCAGCTTGGAGTGGCCATGATGCCATTTGGAACGCTGGGAAGAAAGATTACAGATTTGTTCCCTGTGGACGTCCCCTCAAAACCCACCACCGGGTTCTCCAAGTGATGTTTTTAAGTTCACACAACCTGAGAGAGTGGAGAGAGAGGAGAAAAACTGATGGGGAAAAGTGAAGTGAAAATCCCGGAGGACTTCCTGTCCCTTCCTCCATCGTGCTGTAAGCGTTCCGTCTTTACTTCCTGTCCGCTTCATCGCTGTGTCTCTTTAGGCTTTGATGCTGCTTGAAAGGACAGAATGAGAATGAACAATGTGCTGAAAAAAAAGTGTGTGTGTTTTTAATGCTTACTTAGCAAGCCGTTCAGGGATATCCCAGCATGCCTTTCACCTACCCTCAAACTCGTGGCCATGAGCTGCCCTCTTATTCGAGTCTTTCGGGGGTTTTTGAGTATGAGACAGAAAGAAAGGCAGAAAGACTCTGATCACAACCAAGGTAATTAAAAATACGAAGCTTTTAGCCAGTATTAGTGATAGCTAATTTTTCCACACACTGCTCCGCTGATCTCCTCTCATGAGACATCAGCATCATTAAACAAAGGAATTTATCTAACACTCCTCACTACACATCTGCACCATGTAGCAGAGGCATGAATAAATAAAGAAGCACAATAAATTACACTTACACTGCGCAATATGTTTCACAATATATAATTTTGGATTTAATTAGGATATAATTAGATATCATTTTTCTATCTCTGATTTTTTTGGGGGGTAGTTTATTGGTAAGCATCTGTGTTTATCTATCTATCTATCTATCTATCTATCTATCTGTCTGTCTGTCTGTCTGTCTGTCTGTCTAGTTATCTATTTTAGTACAAGTAGCCACCTGCACTTTCTAAATATTGTAGAAAAAAACCCTGCACCTCGGATCAGATCTTGGAGTTTGACCCTCAGCATTCACGAGAGAACGAGGGAAGAGATGAAGTACAGAAAACCGGTCAAAAGTGCTGAGACATAAAGTTTAGAACCTCCCAGGAGAGAGCAAGAGCCAGAAACAAAGAAAAAAAAAACCCTGAAAAGAGAAAAGCTTAAGAAATGCAGGAAATATCTTCTAGACAGCTCTTTAAAGCTGAGCAGAAGTCCAGCTAGACGCAGTGGGTTCATGGAGAAGTCAAGGAAAGAGGAAGACAAAAGCAGGAGAAGAGAACCTGAGCCAAGGCCGACCAAAAACAGGCTGTAATTATGCAGGCGGAACATCTTCTCCCTTCAGAGAGGGCTTAAGCGTTGATCTTTTCTTACTCTCACTCTCTTTCTCAATCTCTCGTTCCCTTGGCCGAAGTACAGAAGAAGGATTAAAACTCAAACAGATGACACTTTCTCCCGCGATGTTACTGTTACAGCTCGACTCTCTTTAACGCCGTTCACAACTCCGGCATTTACCTTCCTGAATTCACTATTCACTCCAACGCCTCCACAGCTGCCGTTTTTCAGGTTATATTAAAGAAGAAGTCACTTCCACACTCTGCTACACCTACAGAAAGGATTTAAAGCTGTGCAGATATCAATGCCTCAATCCCCAGTGAGGAGGGGAGGGGCAATACTGACAATTACATCAATACTGATGCAGGAAAAGTTCTCCGTATTCAGACTCGGGTTACGCAGCTGTGTAAGTAGAATGTGAGCTCCATATTCAGGTTAAAAATTTCGAGTAGGAGTAGGGATGCTCCAGTAGAAGCGTCAGAGACAGTGGTTTTTCAGTAGTGCTTAACCACAAGAACTCGTCTTTAAACATGGAAAAAAGAGGGATAGAAAATGCAGACTGAAGAACGAAACTTCAATTTTTTCTTTGCTGTCAAGTGTAATATGATGTAACAAAAGCAAGAGACAATTAAAAAATTAAATTAAAATTAAAAGGCTGATACTATTATACTGTTTATGAATGGGAAGACGGCGAGCATTGAAATCTAAAAGGAGTCGAGTATCAATAATTGCTGCATGAATCGTCCTAGTTGTAATTTTGACATTAATCACTGGTTTAATTTCACAAAATGGCTTCCACACTCATTATTCAGGAGATTATAAAATTGAACAAGCATATCCTGTTATTTTACTTTCATTTTGTTTAAATCTTGCTCATATCAGTTACTTGTACTCACAAATGAAGCCACGTGATGCTAAATCGAGGTTCTGAAATAGCAACGTCTATGCAGGATATCATCTATTTTTTTGTTTGCTATTTTGAGTTTGAAAAATGCTTTGTTTACTTTATCTGTTGTCTTGTATAATCTGAGTTTATACTGCAGTTCTGATCAGTTCTTTATCTCTGATTCTCCTCTTTTTCTGTTCTTTTAGTTCTCTGCTTACTAACTTACTAACAAGGACTGGAACTGGGAAGCAATGCTCAATCAATCAGCCCCAAATAACCTCTCTAATTTAGCTGCATAAAAAAACACTAAATATCCTCCTGTTCTGCATCTCTGTTACTGTCACTGCAGTTAGGTTTTACATTTTCATCTGTCTGCATTGTCGTGATGAGCGCTAGTGGAGCGAGACGTGTTCGGAAATACATACAGCGTTGCTCGCTATTCCAGCCTCACTGTCAAATTAACCTTCTCTAAATTAGTGTCTTTGAGAGGAGATTACAGACTCATGTCATGTTCCTCATGTCATAGTTTCAGCAGGATAAAGTGAAAAACTATGTCAACTTATAATTGCTGCAAAAAAACAAAACAAAAAACACCAATGGGATTAGTCCTGACCCAGGATCGACAAAATACATCTCCTGAACTTCACTAAGCCTCACTGAAGCTACAGTTAGAATCGTGTTGCGGAAAGATGAGAGCGAAAAATGTTGGCCATGAACACCATCAGCATTTTGCAGAAAAAAGAAATCAGAATATAATGAAAAGTGTCCAAAAAAACTGTAAAATATGGAGCTTTTGTGTTGTGCTGTTGTGGAGCTTTGGTAAGGACTGGTGTCATCATCATGACAAACGTAAGCTGTGTCATAGTCCAGTTTGAATGTAAACGCCCACTGAACTACTAAAATATAAACAGCTGTACCAAGTAGCATAGATTATTAGCAAGGTACATCACAAAGCATTAAAACACTGTACTGTTTACTTTATTCTGTTGTTATTGAAGTGCAGATTAATTTTACAGCCTCTTCGTTAATATTCTGTTGCTAAAATGATTCATTACTAAAACTCTGTTGTTGCGTTAGAGCCCAAGCAGAACAAATGCATAAAGTACAAACACAATCATGTGAGACAGATCATTTGAAATAAATGTTACACTGAGAAAGACAGATGCTAATCACGTCTCACACATGGATGTAGTACTTCCTGTTTAAGTAGGAATGTGTTTCTGATTGGCTGGTGATGGCACTCTACGTGAAAACATATGGTTTGTCAACGTATGGTTTATGGCTGGACTGACGATCGAAGTCACGGTCAAATTGTGG